TTATTTTTGTAAATATTGAAGTTTGAAATTTACTATCGTTGAATTTTAGTAAATATAACATTTGTTACACAAAACGCACACCCATTAGTGCCGAGTGCCGAATTTGATTTTTGTTCTTTGACCTCTGCTCTTTTGAATATACGATTTGTTCCGCTAGGTGGCGTCTCTTTGCAAAAAATGCAGGAGCCATCTTCCATAATTGTCAGTTCGTGTTAAAGCAACTCAGGGTTTCTGAACAAATCAAATCTGTTTAACTTCGAATCGGTTGGTGTAGTTTTGAAAATTTCGCGAATATAATATTTAGCTCATGATATACAAAAAAAAAAAAAAATATCGTTATCTCATTATAAATTATTGAGAAACTGGAACTATGGACAAACAACAAATCACATAAAAAAATATAAGCCATGAATTTAAAACTACATAAAAGATGTATATATTCATATTTAAGAACAGTAGTCGCTAATAGCCACAGAAGTCGAAGCAACATTAAATAAAAACATTTTATGTATATATATATATATATATATATATATATATATATATATATATATATATATATATATATATATATATATATATGTTGTAGATCTTTGGCCGCCTGAACCAGCCTTCTCCATCTCTGCCTATCTTGGGCTAGTGCTTTCCAGTTTGCGGCATGAAGCTCAGCCGTATCTTTGTTTATCCTATCTATCCATCTGGTTTTTGGCCTCCCACGTGGTCTCTTGCCTACTACTCTGGCATTCATTGTCGTGTAGAGGCGTCCTGATGGATTACTACGAGCTGCATGCCCTGCCCATCTTAACCTCCTTGCCTTCATGTCATGAGATATTGACTGACCCGTTTCTTTCAATAGTTCTTTATTGTTCCTTCTCCTCCATGTGTCAAGGTTCTGATCCCATATGGGTCCTGTTATCCTACGTAGTATATATATATATATATATATATATATATATATATATATATATATATATAGAGAGAGAGAGAGAGAGAGAGAGAGAGAGAGAGAGAGAGAGAGTGAGAGAGGGAGTTGGTATGGAATTTTTTAAATTAACAGCATTGTAAACAGGTTCTCTGTTCTATTTATCCCACAACCCATTGGTAGGATGATATATTCATTTTATAGTGCGTCTTCTGAGCAACGCTGAGTCGATCCACGCCTATTATAACATAATAAAGAAATTATCTGCCACAGACGGAATGGAATCCCCATGGAAATGTGGGAATAGGGAGTTAATTAGTTTGCATATTTTAATGAATTATGCAATAATATATTCATATCTGTACAAATATGCAAATTAGATAAAGTGTAAAAGGTCAGCGGATTAAGTAAGTGCATTCAAATTGTAATATTTGTATTACAAACAAAAATAAGTGTCCTATATCTTTCATTTACTTATAGAAACTTTTGAAATAATCAGATATTTAGAAAATTGTAAATATATATATTTTTTGCTATAAAAATGTATTTGCGCCTGTCAACTTATTGTTGACAATCGGCAAATGTGCTGGAGATACAGAAAATAATAACATGACAGGAATGGGGAAGGAACGTACTCAGCTGCACCTCTTACCTAACTTCTTTCAATTATTTTGGTTGTTTGAGGAATGAGATCTCTCATTCAACGCCTTTTTAGTCTCCTCCTCATGTTCAGAGGTATGTCAGCTGTGGCCATGTCTCTTCTTAGTCTGTCATTATATCCGTTTAAATTAGTGTATAATCGTTGATAAAGGGTTGTTTTTTGTTGATCAACTATTGGAAGATGCAGGTCAGTATGTAGAGTTTGTTAGTCACGTACCAAGGTGCTTTTGTTATGAGTCGCAATAATTTTGATTTGGAGGTTTGAAGTATTTTTAGCTGGGTCTTTTTAACGATATCGTATATTTGTGATGGGTGTGTCCATATGGGTTTAAGTAAATATGTATATGAATTCTGTTTCTGTCTCTAGTTTTGAAGATTTATTAGAAAGAGGGTAAAGTAGTTTGAGTTGTTTAATATAAACGAAATTTTATTTATATATTTTTCGCATTATTAATTGTACAACGTCTGAATACTTATAAGTTTAAATGAAACTTTATAAACTTAAATACTTTTAATGATATATTGATTGTAATAAATAATTTTAATTTTAATTTATTTAATATATATGGTTGATCGCCTTTTGCGGCTTATGAATCATACAGATTTATACTTGTCGGCTTACATCGGAACCGTATACAATACAAGCCTTAGAAATTTAATAATTTCGTGTAGTCATGAAATAAATATGATATGATCACAAAATGATGATGTTTGGTGTTTGATTAATAAAAAAAATTATAGTAATGGAAGCTGCTTTTTTTTTTAAATCATGATATTTAGTACTGTATTAAAATAAAAATACATTTAATAAATGTAAAGAAAGGAATATAATAACATAAAAAGATTTATTTAGAAACTATCCACTCTAATAATATTTCTACATTAGGAAATAAACAAATATTTCTATGGGTTCATCTTCTTTTTAGATAAGAGAGACTTCGGATGGATTTAAAGTTTATTATGAAAGTATAGGTTTCTGGATTGAACCAAAGTGGAAAAATGCGGAACATTAAGATTGAACGGAATTCGATGGTTTAGGGAATCCCCAAAGTTTAACTCTGTAAGTCAGAATAAGCCTTATGACCACAATTTAATCTAATAGTTAAAAAAATAATTCTATTGGAAAATATTGGAGATCTAAATAGATATTATCCCATTCATAGCTACCATAGCTATAACGAATGTAATCTAAGTTTCGTGTTTCTTAACGGTAAGTTAGTTTAAATTAGTTTTTTATTTGACCGGATTCGAAACCCGTTTGGCTTCTCCTTCGAAGCGAGCTTTTAATTTCCTGCCTGTATAGCAAATATATCTCCAAGGCCAAACAACTACACATTCATTAAAACAGCACCTTCTTTGTCGTCCTCTTTCCAAGTTTGTTTTTTGTTGAATCGGGTCTTGTAAAACACATAGAAAAAAAAGAAATAAGTAAAACATGAAGGGTCTTGCTTTTAATAACTATTAATAAGAGAGTACTTCTCCGTGATCTGAAGGATAATACCACTAGAATGTGATTTATTTGAGCAGGAACAAAAACAAACCTTTGTTTTCCTCAAACCACTTAAAAGGTCATATACCCATTTTATATAGGGTTGTTGTGCACTAGGAGAGTCTACCGACCCCAGATTCGATTCACGGGTAATTGAACAGAAAATAAATTTTCTGCCCCCGCTGGACAATTTATTTCAGACATAGAAAACGCAAGGGTTGTAAGCCTACGTCGCACAATGGCGGAAATGACGAAGCAGTCACAAAAATAAAATTCTTAAAATAAAAAACATTACCTTTTTATTTTATGATTAGTTGAAAATCGAGATGCTAATTCATTTAGAATAAGGGAAAAAGTTATTGAACAATAAATATAAATAGTTAGAATTTTTCTTGTTATTAAAATAACCATTTTCATCTTATATTTATTTTTATTATTAATTTATTTCCGAAAGGAAAATCGTAGAAATAGTATTCGTGAAAATTACATGTGTAAAAATACCTCTATTAGACCATATGACCAGAAGATAGTATTGACTAAAATTTAAAATGTTCACAATCAAGAAACAACAACGCCTTCAATTTTTCAAATCAACTTAGGTTTATCGCTGATTGAGCTCGAGCCAGATATCTATCCTTTCATGATAAACTTCAGTCCCATCCAAATCCGCTTGTTTCCACTCTTGCTTCTTCCTCGATTCCTGATAATCCTCCTAGGCGTCTGACAAGGTGATGGCCTCGTGATCTTCTTACTTAAAATTATTTAGAGATTGCTACCACTGGGTAGTATCTCTTCAAGCCTGTACATGCCATTATTTATATTTGCGCATATTTACTAGTTGTATTTGTATACAGTTGTAAATTTCATTAAATAAACAAAAACAAAAAAAAGGTTTAAAAAATAAATCCGTCTTCCTACGATCTATAATCGTTATTTTGTGATAGGTTTAATACTTATAATCTGTAAATATGATTACCATGTTTCACATATTCAAACTATGTACAATAAAAAATAAAATAACCTAAAGGGCCTAAATTATTAAAATTAAATTAATCAGAAATGTTAATGTAGCATTATTGAAGGAAGTCTATTCTAGATACCGTGGGTGATTTTATTATTTTATTTATTGAATAATAATACAATCACCCACTGTTAGAGGACAATAAGTATTAGGGCTAAAAGTTCTCATTCAAACAATATATACAAATAATAGAAAAATAAATATAAATATAAAAAAGTAAATAAATAATACTGATGAAAAAAATGTAAATAAAAAGAAAAAAAAAACAATTAAAATAAAATAAAAACTTCTTAACACATGCATACCTATATACAATATATACAGTCGCCCAGGAATCTCCGAGATAGGCTTTTACCCCTACATGGAAGGCAAAGCAGGACTCCAGGAGATCCCAGTGCCACTTTTCCAGCCGCATCACTAGTATTAGAAGCCAGTGGAGACTGAAAGAGGGCACTAGAGCCACAGACGCTCAGGACATGAGTGGAGAAGCTGGCCATTGCCAGGACTACATGGGTGATAGATATTCAGGATGCACTCCGTTTTAACATTTTTATTTTCTGACGTTTCAGCCCAAGCTTTTGGGTCATCATTAGGGCATGTTACCTTAACTCTAAAGGTGTTCAAATACTCCAGCATCTTCAACACTGGTAACATGCCCTGATGATTACCGACAAGCCTAGATTGAAACGTAATTTAATGTAATAATAATCTGAATAGCGGGTTTCTATTTTAAATTTTTGTTATCAGTTTTCATTTAAAAAAAAATTAACTCCCAAGATTTTTTATTTTTGTTGGTCATTGTTCCTTAGCTGTACTGTCCGGAGAAATGTCAAGTCTTTGTGTTTTCACAGTTTGATGTATTTTACAATACATTGAATTTTTTTCTTTAGTTAAAACCGAAGTTATTTTTAAAGGAAATCGTGCTTGGTTGTATAGAATGTGCTTTGCTTTTCTTCATACTGCCTACGTTTCGAGAACACTGTGTTAAACCGATTTTCACGGGCATTCTCTCGGGGTTGACGGTATGTTTTTTTTTCCTTGTTCCGTCTGTTCTCCGCTGTAGCCTTGAAAACGAATTTCACGTACTGACCAGCCTTCATTCAAAAATAAGATTAGGTCCTAGCATTTTCTTGGAGCCACGTCGAGGTTTATTCGATTTCCTCAAATGATAGACGGTGGTGATGTTTGGCCCCATATAGACTTATTATTATACAATATTTATTATTTAAGTTACAGAAAATGCAGTTAATAATTATCCGATCATAATTATACCAATCATGAAGCTAAATCTCGTTTCTAAATCCAAGGCTTCGAGTATGATTTTTCAGAAATTTATGTCCTCAATACGTTATTAACGTAAACATAAAATAAAATGTACAGAATGCAAATCTCAAATCAACATTTCAAGTACAATTCAAGTTTTGATTTAAGTCTGATCTGTTTTGGTTGAAGAAATTGGTTATCAGTGATAGAAGAGAAGACATTTTTGTTTGTTTTTTACTCCAAATTGTAGAAGAAAATAATTCTTAAGGGATGTTTTATCCTGAAAACATAAAAATAACTCTTATTTTCTTCATTCATTCCTTATGAAAAATTTTACTCATTTCTAGTTGTCTTCCCAGGTTTTCATAATGTTAAATTCTATCAATTAGAATACCATTGTCCCGGCAGTTTGTTAATTTTAAATAATAATTTTTTACATAATTGTTATATTTAAGGTTTAACCCTTACTTATTCTTTTGGATTAAACTGGTCGATGTTTCAAACAACTTGTTCATCCTCTTGACCACCTACGGTTTCATATTTGTCAGTTTTTGATTGACATGGTTTAACTTTTTCATTTTTTAAAATATCTGACTATACTGGATGTTTCAGGGTTAATTTTCCAAACTGAAAATATAAAATTAAGGATCTCAAAACAAGAATCTGCCTGAAGTTATGCCTGCAAACGCTTTGTTTAGGAGATATTCACAACTAAAGATTTTCATTATTATGAATTATTTACGTTATATTAAGTAAATAAAACTTATTTATTTGTTCCAACTTTTTTTTACACAATATTTTAATATGGCCACACTCCTTTCTTCATTTCTTAAACAGGCAATATTCAGCACGTGGTGTTATAGCAAATGTACCAGTTTCTCTAAGACGTTAAAACGTGGGGCTAAAGATAGACTTGTTTGGTGATCTTCTATTCGGAAACCCCTTGGTATATTCACGACGGCCAGCATTACCATTACCATTACACAAACACCATATCGGTATATCCACCATTAGTATAAATGAAAGGCATAATGATGAGTACTCTGCAAAAGCCTCTTACAAACTGATAAATGTTATTGAGAGTTCCCAATGCTAATTCCAATTAGTATTGATCTTTTTGTTGCCAATAGTTTTGATATAGTTAGGGATAAAAGACCATATTAGTATTATATCTAATCCATCTCCTAAACAAAGCGTTTGCGGACATACCTTCGCTTTGAATAACACTTAATATAAATGTTAATGTTTACATTTAATTAATAAAGTAGTTAGGGCAAATAAATAGGTTTTGTTTATTTCCTATAACTTAAATAATTCAAAATAACGAAAATCTTTAGGTATGAATATCTCCTAAACAATGCGGTTGCGGGCATACCTTCAGAGGAATTTTTTTTTCTGGTTTTGAGGTCATTAGTTTATTTTTTCTGTTTGGCCACTTAATCCTGAAACACACTATATACAGTCATTATTGAACATTTTGCTTTGTTACTAACATGTTATCTAACTCTGTATTTCAGATTATGAAGATTTTACTTTTTCGTGAAAAACTATAGAATGTACGTTTATATTACCAACCTTTAGCCAAATATGTTTCGCGGTGTCCAAGTACCATGTCTTTTGTACTCAAGGGATCTTGTAACTCAAATAATTTTTTCTTCGTTAATTGGAAAGTTGTGGGTTACTCTATTCATAAGTTTGACACAAAAAATTTCCTTTGTGATCTCTATATATTCAGTATATTTATCACATATCAACATTTCGCCAATTTTTCGCATCATCAGAACTACTTGTATTTTTTGTTACAATTATTGTCTGTTTAGTATGTGTGTTCCCATGTCTCCCAGATAACAATTCTTTTCAAAGATGAAAAAAATTGTCATGTCTAGCTAAGAACTGAGTTCTTGAATTCTATTGTTCCGGAAATTTGAACATGAGTTTATGTTACAATTCCAAACCATGGTCCTGATGATGAACCACATCTTTGGGTCGAAACGTCGCCTAATTTATCAAAGAAATTTTCGACGAATGTTTTTCATCCATATAATTTCATCAGCCAACTACTTAACCATCTCTAACATATTTTTTTCATTATTGGACGATAATATTATCAGAAGCAACACATTTATTGTCTACCAATGATCCTATTTTATCAAGTAATTGATCAATTGTTGAACTGTACCTATATATATATTTATTTATATAGACGGAAAATTATTTCTGTAACTGAATTCATGTATGTAACATTATCAAATTATGAAATAAGTGCGAATACGTCATATTTCATTTGTTTTTATTTAATGCCATGATAGCAGTTTGAATATGCAAATTGGGTGAAATCATTAACGGTGAAAATAGCTTTCCTGTGTTCGGAAATACATAAATGTTTTATAAGCTTCCTACATGACCTGCGTCATCGTCATTTATTTATAAGAACGGCTTGTGTAAACGATAAACTGTGTAAAATGAATGAGTCTTGCAAACTTCATCGCGGAGTTACTATACATATTTGAAGAATGAAAAGAGAACTCATACAAGAATTTCAATTAGTTTAAATCGGGAAAATCATAAACAAAAGAATATTCCTCCATTGCCAATCGATAACCGGCTGATTACGAATGTATGCTTCATCAGGACATAACGTTGCTGTCAAATCATATTATTGCGTACAAGCCTCACCTAATAATTTCGTAGCTTCTGGATTCAATTTGATATAAATTTTATAGATCTCCCGTCGTTCAGCATTACAGATCTCTGAACCAATCTTCCTCTCCGTTGGAGATCACATCACGAAATACTTATCCCTCAGCCACTTGGAAGGAATTGAAAAATGTGAGCAACTGAATAATTGCTTTAAGTTAATAATAGATTTTAATCAAACTGCCCTGTTATAATTTTTTATTTAAAACTCTAAGATACGAAGAAAGATATCATTAGCATTTCAATTTCGATTCTGCTATTGAGAATATCTTCGTCGGAGTTTCAACCTATGTTGGATTAAATTTCTTAAGTTTTTTTTTCGGATGTTCTTACGAAAACATTAATAATAATTAGAAGTAAAGGATTATATATAATTTACTTATATCGTCTTAAAACATTTATATTTAATGCATAAATGTTATTCGCTTAACTAACGTTATCAGGTACGTATGAAGGGATGTACCAGTTATTCTAGTTATGTAGAAGTTTTATATACCTGTACCTATGATGTCTCTACTTAGATACCTTTACTTCGATACCTCCAGAGATAGGCAAATGCTACTCTGCGTACCGAGTGCCAAGTATTTTACTCTTTTCACTTTTGAGACTTAAATCATTACTTCAATTAATCGTTTGACATTAACAGAAGTAGTAATTAAATTCTTTGGTACTCAAAAAAGACTAGTATACGAGTAAAATACAGTACTCAGAGTATCATTTGCCCATCTCATAATACCTCTACCTCGATACCGTGGAAAATCAAAAATCGATGTTACTGATACATCTGCATTATAATATAATATAATAAATTTATTTATTGAGCAATTTTACAAATGCCTTTTGGCATATTTTGTAAATGTGATGTTCGTTAGCGAACCTCCTCTCCGGGATTAGCGTGAATACGTGATTGGAGAAGCCTCCCAGTGAAGGCACTCCTAACGTGACTCCTGACGCAGCAGATCTCTGCTCCAGAGGCGCTTGAGTCTCCTTGGTGGATTCTGTGGTAGTGTGTCTGTTAGCAATGTTTGTACAAGTGGATTAGGATGTCCAGCTAAGGAGTCATGGAAACTTTTATAATATTTTTTAATTACATCAGTCACTTGTGATATTTGTAGGTCTTTATGAAGTGATTTATTGGTTATGTAGAAGGGACAATGAGTGATATACCGGAGAAATTTAGATTGGAAAATTTGAATAGTCTGTAAGTGTGTTTTTTTGCATGAACCCCACACCTGAGAGGCATACGTCCATATTGGTCTGAGTAGCATGTTGTATATAGTAATTTTGTTAGAAAGTGATAGTTTGTTTTTATGGTGTAGCATTCGTCTTAGTAGTGATAACCGATGGTTCAATCTCTTTTTTAATGTAGTCACGTGTGATTTCCAGGTCAGTCGTCTGTCCATTGTGAGTCCTAGATATTTTGTCTCAGTATGATTTGGCAAAGGGGTGTTGTAAAGTGTCAGTGGAGGGCAATCCGAACGTTTAAGTGTAAATGTAACCTGGTTTGATTTTTGAATGTTAATTTTTATGCGCCATTTATCAAGCCAGTCTTGTAGAAGATTTAAATGAATCTGTGCTTTCTGAGATGCTGTGATCGGATTAGAGTCAGTCGAGAGTATGACAGTGTCGTCTGCGTAAGTTGCGAGTAATGTGTCTGGTGTCTGTGGAATATCAGAAGAGTAAATTGAGTACAGAACCGGACCTAAAATACTGCCCTGCGGTACTCCCGCGCCGATTCGGCAATAGTCGGAGTATTTACCATCCTGGCTAACAATAAAAAATCTATCCTCAAGATACGATCTGATTATTAAATAATATGTATGCGGAAAGATTGGTTTAATTTTACAAAGTAGACCATCATGCCACACTTTATCAAAGGCCTGTGAGACGTCTAAGAAAGCTGTTGTGCAAAATTCCTTCTTTTCCAATGCCACAGCAATTGTATCAATCACTCTATGACATTGTTGTATGGTAGAGTGTGCAGGTCTAAATCCAAATTGGTGATTAGGAATAACATTGTTTGCTTCTAAAAATGGATAGAGCCGTTTTAATAATAATTTTTCAAATATTTTGGAAAATAAGGGTAAAAGACTGATAGGCCTATAGGACGTGACTTGGTCTAAAGGTTTGCTTGGTTTCGGTATCATTTTTATGATTGAAAATTTCCATACTAGAGGAAAGTAAGTAAGTCGAAGGATAGAATTGTAAATAGCTGTCAGGAAGATTAATGCTTTTTTGGGTAGAAGTCGTACAATTTTAGGTGTGATTAGGTCAAAGCCAGGAGATTTTCTGCGAGGTAATTTTTTAATACAAAATTCTATGTCCGAAGGAGTTATAGGGGAAGGAGGTAGAGAAAGGGGAAGAGGAGAAATTAGGATTTGTTGGACGTCTGAGCAGTGCTGTTAGTCAGGCAACTCTTCATGTGGATGAAATACGTCTGTAAGATGAGTAGCAAATAAGTCTGCTTTCTCTTTATCGCTTCTAGCCCATGAGTTGTCTGGTTTACGGAGAGGAGTCTTTGTTTGGTGGTACCCTAGTGTCTTTCGGGTTTGTTGCCAGAGAGTATTGTTACTTGTCTGTAAGGTGGTCAGATGTTTTTTGTAAGTTTCCTGTTTGTATTGTTGTATAAGTTTTCTAAGTTTGTTAGAAAGTGCGTTTAGTATCTGTTTGTCACTGGGATAGCGAGATCTTTTCCATTGGTTGAGAGCACGTCGTTTTTCAATTAGAAGTGATCGTATTTCCGGGGGTAAGTACTGTTTGTCGCGGTTGGTCTCGTACTTGTGTGCTGATTCCCAAGCGGCAGTTTGTACAGTCTTAGTAAGCGTCTCTACTGCATTGTCAATATCATTTTCCGTCTTTAATCTTGTGTTTAGATCAATAGTCTTATTAATAATGGAATGAAATTTATCAATTAATATTGGTCCAGGAGTTAGTGTAGGTGTGTGGTTGATAGTAAACATGTGTCTAGAGAGAGATAAAATAACCGCTGAATGGTCTGATGATAAGTCGTTACTAATAGAGATATGATGGTGTAGTGTGTGTAGGCTAGAAGTTATAAAGAAATCAAGTAATTCTGGTTGACGGTTTATGTCTGTCGGCCAGTAAGTCGGTTCAGGTGGTAGTATGCAGTTATAGTCCAGTTCTATACATGTATTAAAAAGAGAGTTTCCTCTAGAATTATTGGTCCTATTGCCGAAACGGGCATGCTTGGCGTTAAAATCGCCTCCACATAAGAATTTAGGTCCTAAGCTGCCAAGTATGTCTGTAAACGTTTCTTGTGAAACTCTTTGTCTCGGAGGACAATATGCACTGGCAATAGAAATTTTGGTGTGATCGATTTCAACCGAAATAGATGATAATTGAATTTCTGGTAAGGCAGTCATTTGAAGAGGATAGTGGTATAATGTTCGTTTTACGACTATTGCCGAGCCACCACGGGCAGTACCGCTGGGATGGTCAGCGCGGTACAATACATACCCTTGTATGCAAAATGTTGTAGTTTGAGTAAAATGAGTTTCTGTTAGTAATGCAATGTCAATGTCATTTTCATGTAAATAAATGTCAAGTTCATTCCTTCGGTGTAGGGCTCCATTTGAATTCCAAAGAAGGATTTTTAGAGAGTGTTGTGAGATAGAATTAGGGACTAACATGAGGAATAAATTTGGTAATTAGCGTGGTGAGAAGAGTGATGAGCGGAGTTATCATAGATTTAAAATCGTTTAAGAAGGAATTAAAATATAATGAGAGATCTGGAGTATTAGGTTGTGTATTAGATGTTGTGTGATGAGGTCTTGAGTATGAGGTTGACGTGTATTGATACGGTATGTATTGAGATTGGGTATAATGAGGTACTGAACGGTCAGGGATTATACTCGTTTGGTTTATTGAGTGCTGAGGAGTTATACTTGTAGTATGAGAAGTAGTGTATTGAGGAGATATATTTGGAGTTCGAGGATCTGTAATTTGAGGAGTCGTATGATGAGGAATGGTATTGTGAGGAGATATATTTGAAGTTTGGGGATTTGTAATTTGAGGAGCTACATGATGAGGAATGATATTGTGAGGGATTACATAACGAGAAGATTCATTTGAAGTTTTGGGATTTGTAATTTGAGTTGTATGATGAGGAGCTATATTGTGAGAGATTGCGTAGTGAGGAGTTACACTCGTTGTTTGAGCAGTTGTGAATTGTGGTGTTGTGTTGTGATATGTAGTTTTAGTACACGTTGCCTGTGCGTAAGTCGTGTTGTGTAGTTTTTGCGAGATAGGGACGGTGTAAGTAAGTCGGTCGTGTTCCGCCTCTGGAGGCAGGTGTTCTGTTACCTCTCTACTCGAAGTGGCCTGGTTCCACACGTTGAGTCTTCTTTTCTGCAGCTCTAGATGCACTATGCATCCCCTATAGTTCGCAGGATGATTGCCACTGCACAACGCACAAACAGGTGGCTCTTCAAGTGGTTTCTGGCACCTATCACTAGGATGATCTTGACCGCACTTCACACATCGTGGTTTATGATGGCAAAATGTTCTGGTGTGCCCGTATTCTTGGCATCTCATACATTGAACAATATTTCTTCTTTTGTAAGGTTCTTCAATCCTAACTCTTGTGTAAGCCAAGTTAGTGATATTAAAAACTTCAGCATTGTTTGGAGCTGGCTCTAAGTCAACAAAGAAGAGTGGGAGTGGTTCTTTTGATCTCGGGTGTAACACGTTAGTGATGAGACGGATGTTGAATCCTTTTCTTTCAAGGTCATATCTTATCATTTCGTGTGGTGTTGAATAATGGAGATTTCTAATAACAAACCTATATGGTTTGTCTTCTTGGGATTGATAAGTGTGAAAGTTGTAATTGTTTGTTTCTAAATATTTAATGCAGACTCTATAGGCTTCACTTGTTTTAATTTTTAATGTAACAATCGATTTGTTAGAGAAACATTCAAAATTATTTTCTCCTAAAAGGCTTACTAAATTCGTGCAGAGAGTTTGGAAGTTTGTTATGCCTTTTATTTTAATTGGAGGTGGCTGATGAGTAACTATTGTTTCGTCAGGTTCGTCTTCCATTTCGGTAGAAAGAGGTTCAAACCTATTACTGACCTATTACTGTTAGGGATACTATTTATTGTTGATGGTGTATTTGTTGCATTTGAACTCTGAACAACATTTTCTGGTACTCCAGTGTTGTTAGCATCATGTTCTAGTATAGATTCAATGATATGGGTCGCAGAGTTATTATTTTCAATAATTAAAGTATTCATTTCAGTATTCGTGGAGTTAGGGAGGTTATGTGAATTAACATATGTTTGCTTTTGGTTAGGATTTTTTGATGTTGTTTTTATCACAGAATTGTTTGAACTCGCTCTCTTTTTCTCATTTGTCCCGTCTTTCGATGAAATACTTGAAGTGGATCTTACCTTTCTCTTCAGCAGTTTTGACAAAACGGCCTGATCCAACAGTCCACTCGAGCCAGCTAACTGGCGTGCACTCATAAGTAAAGTGTCTGTTTTCACTTTAAAAAAAAAACTATACAAACAGATTATTCCTTTAAAGAGAACACATTTTCACTATAAGACACATGGGTAAGAAAGATAGCAAGCTTATCTGTCCCTGGAAACCAGACACACGAAAGTAAATAAACTTATTTTCTCGGAAACCAAACAACAGCGGGCCTATTGTACTGAGATCAAAGCCGCAAACCGCGATGTGCACCCTTCGAAGGCTGGAAGGGAACTGCATTATAACATCAATGTTATTAGAATTTTTTTTCATGGCTTCATACCATGGACATTATTTAAAATTCTCAAAATCTAGAAGCAGGACCTAAACAAAGTAATCTTAGCAGGAGAATGTTTAATTGTTGTTTGCTTATTAATATGGATTTTTAAATAAAATGAACCTTTTTACTTTTAAAAACCCAGTGATTCTAAAAATATTTGGCCAGAGAGTTGAGGATAGAAAGTGTGAGAGTTTTAATTTTTTTAACTGCATACATAGGTGCAAAAAAACAAAACTGTTAACATCAATTATCGAAGGGAAACCTATGCCATTGAAAATAATGATTTTTTTCTTCTTTTCGACTCTAGCGCGCATTTTCGCATCCATAAAGAACCGTAGGAAGGATAATGTTTTTTTAATTCTAATTTTTCAAATTTTGGAACAACACCCGCGAGCCAAGTAGTTCCGCAACGGAAAAATAGGAAGCAATTATTTTCTGCCTTTAACCTAGCTTTAACTAAATTTTAATAATTTTTTTGGGGGTTCTCCCCTTACTCGCCTCTCTGCAAAACAGATTTTGGTATAACTTTAGCAACACTTCTACCACTTATTCTCTGATTTTTAAAATTAATTCGACGAGGTTGAAATTATTAATTCTCACTAATTCCTTCCACCCGTACACGAAAGCTTCATATCCCTGCTTATTAGCTAAGGGAAATGAAGGACTCCGTCATGACGTAGCATCTTGTAGAATAGGATATTTTAGGAGAAGGTACAATAATTTAATAGAATAATTACAATAATTTAATAGTTATGATCTAGAAAACCTGCTTTGGTCAGGGAATACCTTTGATATGTTCTAGTAGACACCTTAATCAGTGTTACTAAAAATAATGTGATCCTGATATTCATATGATATTCATCGTACAAAATAGCAGCGTATGTTTCTTAACCATTTCTTTGATTTTGGTAATCTTTCTGTCTCGGCCACAGCCTCAAACCAGGAAAAAAAGATTCCTCTCAGAGTCAATTTATATCCATCTTGATCCTTATTCCATTAATCACAAAGTTGATAAAGGATTTACCTTACATTTTTCACTTTTCTGGAGAGAAAGATTTCACTTTTTTTTACCATATTTTATTTTATATTTATTAGGCATAACTTTTATTAATGCTTTGGGCCACAGCTTAATAGTCCGTGGTTCAGGCCCCTTTTTATCAAATTATTAACATCCGGCTGAAACTTCGTAAATAGATTCTTTACATCGTAACCTACAAATATTTTATTAAAGAAAATTCTTGGAATTGGAGCGTTTCAATATGGAGATCGGCAAACTTTCTCAATTTAATTAGGTACTAAAGACTCGTAAATACCCATTCGCTTTCCAATTGAATCGTAAGAGAACTTGAGCACAAAGTCGAGAAAAAAGGTGGCCTTAAAAAATATTGAGCCGTTTGGCGTGACCTACAACCGCAAATTGCCTAAATAACGAGGTTGTATAGGCCAAATGGCTCTATATTTTTGAAGGCCACCTTTTTTCTTGACTTTGTGCTCAAGTTATCTTACGGTTCAATTGGAAAGCAAATGGGTATTTACGAATTTTTAGTACCTAATTAAAAAGAGAAAGTTTGTCGATCTCTGTATTAAGAACGCCCCAATTACAAGAATTTTCGTTAGTAAAATATTTATAGGTTACGATGAGGTGAAGCTATTTACGAAATTTCAGCCGAGTGTTAATAATTTGATAACAAGGGGGCTTGTACCACGGACTAGAAATTATTGAAGTACATATGTCTTATGTATTTAATTTATTGCGTGAATAGATTATTTAGTTGCTCACTGATAATGTTTGTCTAAAAGTTTAAAGTAGTATTGTTTTCTTTAAAAAAAAACTACAATTTTAAATAATAGCTCAGATCAAAGAGGATGAAATACTAAACATTTTAGTTGGTACATTATGCAAGTATGATATCTAGTTTCTGAGATATTTTGATCCAAATGCAAATATTATTCGATTCGAGTTGATTTTACAAAAATGAGTGTGACGGATCAATATGATTCCATACCCACAATAAAAATAAAGAAAAGTTTCGACTTCCTAAACATTTGGTCATGAAGAAATTCCGTTTGGAATTCTCTCTTATTATTTAGTATTGTCCCACCAATCCAACATACTACATACGAAAGTTTAGTCCGTTGGTCTCTCGCAGGCCTCGATATATAAGGAAAGTAATATCTACGTATTGTGTGTTTATGATTATATACGTATATTTATATCAGACATTCCCTGCTGTAACTTCTAAGATTTAATCTAGATCTAAAGATTTAATCTACAGATTACGAAATGGATAAAGAATGTTCTCCCCCCGATGATTTTTTGTACAGTTCTCCAGTAGTCGTATCGTTTTCTGTATAGACACAATAAAAAAAATTTAGGAAAACAAAACTTTCATCACAATTCGACGCAATGATGTGATCGCGGTTAAGGCTTGGTTGAAGGTTGCAACAAAAGCGAGAGGACAAAAACCCCGAAATAAAAAATGAAATTTCCCTAAAGTGAAAGGGGGAGGGAGGGGATAAAGAAGATTGAGTAGGCCTCAGAATATCGGAAGTTGCCAAGGAAACCAGGCTCATTATTCCCCAGTGCCGGCTTGATTTATACTTAGCGTCATAAAATAGTCCGTCATTTATATCCGCTCCGGGTTTATCGGCGCTTTATTTGCTCCGGCTTATTGTTATCGATACCTTCTATCCTATTGTGCCTTTATTTACCGGCGTCACTCTCAATTTCTTCAGCTCATATGAATCCGCTATGTTTGTATGGAATATTTTTTTGCTTAAGTTGTTTGTAATATAAACATATATGCACTTAAACCGACCCTTCAATTATTGTTATTTTATCAAACAAAACATATATGAAAAGATTAATGAACAGTTTTATATAAAAAAATTTAGAAGTTAGTAAGTAGATTATAGAATAGAATAGAAAAATAATTTTACTCTGGGACGATATCCCTTTAGAATAACAAAAAAGTACAAACTTAAAGTATTATATCTGTCCTAAGTAAAAACTAACATAAAAAGTAAAAATAAAGAAAAAAAAGTAAATAAAATATTAGTTAAACATACTATGTTCAAAATAAAAAAAATCTATGTACAAAACACTTAAAACCATCCCAAGAGCGAGCAATAAACGAGTTTTGGAACGAGGCAGATCTTTGAGAAGGAATGTAAAGGTCGGAAGGTCGAGATCTTGTGGAAAGGGAGTGGACTGAGGTCTTGAATTGGGAGAAGGTTGTAGGCGCAAGAAGGGCGATGGTTGTTGATGATTTGATAGAGGAACGTACCTAAGAAATGTTGTCTTCGAATGGAGGGAAAGAGCCACTTTAACTCAGTACAGTGGTGAGACATATACAAACCAAAAACGAAGTATATTTAATCATGTATTGAGCATTATCTTCTGTTGTGTGATGCAGAATACGCTGTTTTACATCCACTTAATTGAATGTTTAACGCGGCAATGGTTTACAAATTTTATCAAAATGAGACCAATTTCTGCTTCTGAGGCGGCTAATGGCGCCTTAACACCCTTCTCTTCTAAGACCTCAGTTCCTATTTTTCTCTGATGACACATCTGATAAAATGTTAACATTTAGAAAGTATAGTAACATCTGAATGAACTAATCGGATGAACAAGCTATAGTTAGCATGTACAGAACAATTCCTTATGCTTGGGTACATAAATTTAAATAGGACAAGTGAGAAAGATCGTGCCTCATCTTTGGCAGGGCAGCACTGAATTGAATGTTGCTCAAAATCTGTCTTTGCAAGACCAAGACTGAAAAAAAAAAGCCTTTTTGAGAATAAATATTGAGACAAAATACTAGACAATTTTAGTTACTACATATAAACATTTGGTAAAACCAATATACTTTTGCATTTAACTCTTATTATTTTTCATTCTGGGTTTAGTTAGATTTCCCTATTCTAAAAAATGACAGTGGCATCTCTATAGTATGTAGTGGTTTTTAAAAGGTAATTAACCCGACAAAACTATTTTAAAAATCGCCTAAATCGGACCTGTTTTAGCAACGTTACAGTGTATAAAAATCAGTATATTGAATATTTTTTTATATAAGATTTATATTTTTATATTTTTCAGCTACAAGATAATAATTGCTGTGGCTCTGTACTCTTGTACAATACAGTTTTATCATTATACAATATGTACAATTAAAACATATTACATTTACTGGTGAAATATAAACAACATGTTGAATGTTATACATTGTTTTTAATAATTGCTTAGTAGCCCGTTTATATGGCTTTAGTTCATTAAAGAAATCGTGCTCTAATGACTTCTCTGATCGTTTATCAGAAAAATTCATCTTATCCAATTGTATTATTTTTAATGAGCATATTTAAAATCAAAAAGAATGTTTGAATTCGGTAGGAAGTCATGTGAATGGACACACCAGAATTATTATTTAAATAATTTATGAAATTTTATTGATAATCTTCAATTAAGTATCTTCAATGCATTTACTCAAGTTAATTTTATTAATTTGGTTGAACTTTACTATGTTTGTGTCAATAAAACATCTAAATAGACCTATTCTGTACCATTTTTCTAAGATCTAAAGACTTCAAAACTCTTGCACAAAACCAACTCTAAGTGCAAGACCAAGACTCGTCTTGGGCTACATTAACTGGATTGGAGACGGGTTGCGGTAGATAATTATTTCTTATGTTATATTATGTGGCTGCTCATTT